TAAGCTTATTTAATTATTTCCAGATTTAAGAAAATATAATTTTAAATTACTCCTGAAAGTGTTTTCTCAAGAAATTAAATGAAATGAAAGAAACTCTTGATGGTCTCACTTAACTACACTCCGCGAACAATGTAAAAACTGTGTTCTGTTGGGGAAAAATTCCCCCGCCACTGGGAAATCACCATAATTGTAAATAGTTCCCAGTCTTGAAGCGCAACAAGCACTTCCCAGCCGCTCTCCACAGGCAAATTTTGCAAAATTTGCGCTTGAGCTCTGGCCATTTATCTTCATTGAAGGCAACCCAGGAATCTGCCAAATGGTTCCTTTCAATTAGAATATGAACAATGGTGGGAAGGCAGCCGGAACCTAAGGGAATGTGTACAGTACACTTTGACATAAATCAAACTGCCCCTAAAAAGGCGGTTCCGACATCCGAAGAAAGCTCATCTCTTCTGCAGACATGGCAACGTCGTTTCAGGTTCGTTAGGTGCTAGACAAACGACTTGTTGGCCTGAACACACTTAACAAATGCACAAATTGATGGCCTACTGTTTCAAAAGAAAAGTTATTTTTACTCGGCAAAACTTTGCAGCACAAACGAAACTTATTGAGCGCAATCTCTAGGAACTAAAGTAAGGAACTGAGAAGTACAACTAAGATAAAACAGTAAAAAGTGCACATTAGCACCAATAATAAGTGAAATAAAGCATAGTCAAACCTTTTCTATCTATGGGCATAAAGTAAGTGCCCAAGTGTTAGCCAGCCATTTGATATCATGGAGTTTTTTATTAGATACAAATCATTTTATTACCATCAGAAAAACAAAGTGATACTTTTCAAGGATACTGCATTAACCAGCAGGACTCCTTCCCCACTCATTTCTGCGTCCTTTTTTCAGCTCAAAATTTCACATTTCCGTCACGTAGCTGCTAATGCCACCCAAAAAAACCTATCCAACATACACGGTCGTAAAAAGAACAGCGAATGTTTGGCTCAAATGAAGTGATGCGAACTATGAATCCAGCAGTGGAATTATGGAGAGCAGCGGTCTGATCTGGTCTGACCTAAGTGAACCCCTTTGTTTGGACGAGTTTTGAGTAATGCCACGATGACAGCCATTCAATGTGATTTGGGTCCTGAAAACTTGTAACGCTCACACTGCGTATACGTATTGAAGCCGACAAATGGCATTGGGCCAAATTCGAGGGGGATTTGGCAAAGAGTGGAAATGCTACAAAGAGACACGCCAAGCTGAAAAGTCAATTCAGCAAGAATGCGGAAAATAAGCCAATTGACGAGGGCAAATTCAAGTTTTTTATCATTAATATTTGCGCTGACTAATGGCCATTTGGTAATGTCCCTTTTGTGGGCTGGCAAGCGCTTGACTTTCCGTCTTTAGCTTCAACTCCACCTATTTGTAATGAATTCGAGGAAAGGAATTTGAGTAAAGGCGATTGGGCAGAAGAAATCCCATCGACATAAAGTACAATTATCAATTGCCCACTGGACCCCATTAGACAATTTATAGGCAATCTTCAGACGGCTAGACGTTCAATGCTAATGAATGCCAGCACGCACCAATAAAACAGAAAGTATACATTGCGAAAAAAAGAACAACAATTGAAAAAAGTGAAAACGGCAGGAACAACAAACAAACGCGATATAAAGTTCAAAAGCCAACCAATGAGGCCCTTCGCCAAGAGGTGAGCACCCCAAATGGACAATAAATAAAATTGCTGGTCTGAAATGAGGTGCTAAAATAAGGCACTTTTGCGTTTGAATTTTTGAAAAGCTGCGTGGAGGGTATGCAAATTTTAGCGAATGGTTCAGCTGCCTGGGTGTACCTAAAAAAGATATAAATTCAAATAACTAAATTGAATGAAAAAGTGTGCATGTAAAAGTAGTTCAATTTAGAAGTAATACATTTTGCTTGCCTCAAAGAATCTCTTAATAAACTATTTATCAGTTAGCCAAGCAACTGAAAAATACAATTATTTCGCCAAACAGTAGGTACTAGCAGTGCGAATCATTAACATGCCCCAGAACATTAATTTGTTGCTGGCGGACTTTGGATTTTTTGGGCTTCAGGCTTTTTACTCAGGTAAATTGGCTGGTCCAACAATGCGAAATCTGTCGACATATTCATAAATTAACCTTCAACCTTAAAGCATTTTCCAGAGCGAGAAGGAATGTCTGTGGAGACGGCGCAAAAAACTGCGAGAAAAAAGCGCCACACTTTGGGAAAAACCATGGCAAAATCTTGTGAGTTGTATACACGGCGATGTTTTCATACTTGGGGATGCCTAGTGGGGAAATTGAGTGGTTAGTGGCTGGGTGGGTGGGGCTGGGTGTGCTTATGTACACAGGCATCTGCCGAAAACCTCGAGAATTGTTTATTGTTTACTTTTTGCACTCAACGTCTTGTTGAAAAGCAGCCAGTCGTATCAATAATGCGTGAATGGTAGGAGATGCTAAGTGTTTCTCGGAAGGGCAGCGAAGTTATTTATTTAACTGGTACCGGAACAATATCGCCGTTCGCACGCAAAACATCTTAGCATACTTTTTTATGATTTTCCTCAATGCAGCATTAAATTGGAACTGGCGGTTGTCTTGGCGGCATTTAATTCTGCTTTCATTCAAACAAATACCTCTCCTTTCCACTCGATGGCATACTCAAGTGGATCGATTACACCAAATCAAAGCAATCCTATTGTGCCATTTCTCCTTTCATCCGTGGATTTGCTACACTTAGGAAAACAATACTAAAACATTTGCTGTTTAAAGCATGGGGTATGGAACCAATGTCCAGCTCCAAACTTATAGCCATGATTGGGCAAACTTGCCTATGAATACGCCTATTTCTCTGCCTTTTATTTATTCAACTCCCCTATGAAAGCGCCGATTACTTGATTACGTGTCAGTGCCCCAATATTTGCGCAATGCCATGTTCGTAGCGCCAAAACTGATTACTCACTGCTGTCAATCCTGCAGTCCTGAAAGTTTAGTAAGCCAGCAGGAAGCCCACTAATGAGACAAATCCCTTCGCTGACCTTTGTTCGTTGACGGCTACCAATCATTGATCCTGTCGCGACACTTGATGTCCTAGAGGACCTGAAGTCCTGGCTAATTAGCGCGTCATAAATTGCACCCGTGCCGGAGTCTAATGCCGGAATTTAAGGCACATTAATTGGGATTTAGTGAGCAGCAGTTTTTGGACAGACTTTTGGGCACGAGCGTCATGCAAGCATTATTTATTTAATTTCGACCGTGCCCCTGGTAATCGGTGGTAATGAAGTGGCTGGACAGCAGCCCTGTTTATTATGCAATATTAAATGCCACATGGCGTGCCGCAAGGCTCGACTCTGCTCGACTTATTAAAAAACATCCAACAGGGATGTCACCTCATGCTGGTGCCTCAATGATTTTGAGTGTGCAATGCTGGCGCCAAGAAAGAGCATTTCCATTTCCCAATTGTCTGTTTTGCTGTTGTTTTTTTTTTTGGCAATTTTTCATCTACATTTAATTTATTCTTTTATGTCCCGAGCGTGTTGCTTTGATGTGCCTACAATGGCGGCGCCACAAACATACATACATACAACTTAAGCATGCCACAAGCGGCTGCCACATGAATTGTGATCCATGTGTTCTATCTATCTATCCTGTTGAGTGCGGCTTTGCCTTTTGGGTCGGGTTTGCAATGGCTCATGCGGTGGGGCATCAATTTCCTATTGTGGTTGGATTTCCGCCCCCAGATTGATATTTTGTGTTCGCCCGAATTCCCATTTGGCCCAAAGCGTGGTCAAGTGTACATACATACATCCATGGCCAACTCAAGCAGAGGCATCGCCTACACACTCCGAAGAAACCCCATTAGTTATGCATAAGATCAATTAAATACAGAACATTTAACAGCAGCCATTTTTGTGGGCCGGAACTAGATGTTCAAATAGTTTGCCCCTGTTTGCCGAAACATAAAAGGGCACAGCGAATCCATCAATGTGATGACACAAATGTTGCAAAGGCCTATTCTAATTTTTCGAGACAAAATATTGTTAGGAAAGCCACATATTTTTGCCCCCATTTACCGAAACATAAAAGGGCACAACGAATCAATCAATGGGATGGCAAAAATAATGCCTGTTCATTGAAGTTTTCTATTCCCTTTTTTGTGTGCTGCAAAAGGACTATGATAATATTTTCAGGCAAAAGGTTGTGAGGAAAGCCCTATATTTTTAGCCCAACGTTCAACGTGCACATTTTACCAAGTAATCCTGCTTTGAATCAAAAGATTGTTAGGAAAACCACATCACTTCAGTAAGTTCAAAGTGCATATTTTACCAAGAAATCCTTTCCGTAAAACGCAATATCTCTTTTGGCCAAAACAGAGCTGAAAATTGTCGCCACAAAAATGTGTCTGTTATCTTTTAAAGGGATTTTCCTGATGAAAAATTACACTGTCCTTATTTTCCAAGCTCGTAAATAATTGCCCACCCTTTCACAAAATTAAACAAAACATTGCGAAATGTTTGTATTCAAACAAACAAAACTTATTATTTCGATCGTTACAGAAGAGGCGAAATCAAAATCTTAGTACAATGAAATCATGGAATTATATAAATTGGCAATCGTATTTACAAATTTTTCTTTTTACTCCATTTTTATCCCAGTAAACAGAAGATAAACAGTTGCGAAAAAATCAAGTCAAATCGTGAACGGAACCATTTTGTTTACCAACCAAAAATAATTCTGCCACAAAAATGCCAGTATGCAAATTAATTTCTTATTTGAGAACAAGGCCAAAAAAATATTTAGTTGTATCAAATGGGCATTCATCCATCAATTAAACTGATTCCCAGAAAAAACTCATTTAATATCAAACCAAACAACATTTTTTTGGAACCCCATTCATTTCATTATGAAAAATATTTCCATTTTTTTCATTTGCGGATGGATGATATTTAAATTTGGTGATAATTGAACATTATTTTTATCGCACTCACACTAGCCGTTTATTTCCTGTGTTTATTTTTTTATTTAGATCGAAGAATACACAATCACACTTTTTTTCTTGAAACAATGTCTGAAATTTTTACTAGGCAGTTTGTAATTTTTTCATAGGTTCTTTTGCCTATATTTCCCAAGCGCGTTTCATGAACTTTTCACAGACCGGTCCGTTTGATCCGCACTGTGATCCTTTCACGCGCTCTGTAATTTTCCGACTGCAAGTGGAATGCCGACGGACGATGTCCATTTGGCGCCAAAGTGTTCGGCACCTCGAATTTCCCCTACTTCCCGCTTCCAGTTTCGAACTGCTTTCGCACTGGAACTGGAAGCAGTGGCTTTCTAGCCGGCTGATGGCGCCTGCGCATTGGGCAGCCAATTGTAAACAAAGACCAGCTGTTTTTCATTGACGATGGAACATATGTGTACATACATCGTATCATAAATTGGGGGGCAGTGGGGGCTAACTGCGAACATAAGGATGAGTGATGTGATTAGGGTGAGCACGCGAGCGGCTCTAATAGATATCAATGATTTGTGAAAATGCCGAACCGAAAAAACCCACAGCTCATTGAAAGTCGCGCATCTTCGTGTATGAATTTAAATTGAAGGGCGGCTGGTTGGTGGCAAATGAGGCTCAAGGCCACGCCTTTTACTTGTCACTCGAGCCGGGAATTCTCACAGCTGTCAGCCAACAGCCCATCCACTTGACATCTCCAATGCTCTGCATTTTGTTTTCTTTCCTTCACATATAGTATATTAAGTATTCTCGCCAGCACTTCATTTCCTTTGAAGCCGCATTATTCCAGCCCTTCGACACCGGGCGTTACGAGGCGTTACGGCTTGAACGAACAGCTTTCGACCGGGCCCAAAGTGTCTGTCTGAAATGAAGCGGAAACATTAATGGAAACACTTAAGTATATCAAGGAAAGTCGATTACCATTATTGAAAGGATTACATCATACGATTTCATGGGCAGTAATTAAATGGGTTTAAATATACTCCAGTACATATACAACATATCTTATCATCAAGCTTATGCTTGCCACATTTTTCGAGATATAATTTGGAACTCTGTCAGAAAGCCTTTTCTAATTATATATGAGATTTTTAAAACAAACTGAAATAAATGCCTATCAGCTTCAGCATATGTAACTAAAAGTACCAAAGGAGTTTCTGGTTTCATTTACAGATATGCCGATAAAATCCGATTAAGATTAGTTGAGTTATGGACTTTAGAACTTCAGCCTTGAGGCATTTTTGAGTTTCCACAACATCATCACATCGGAAAAATGACAAAAAAATTACAAAAAAATGAAAAAAAAATAAAATTCTAAATTTGAATGCAGATTTTTAGAGAATTGCTCCAGAAACATTTAGAGGTATGCCACTTCAAATTCCGACTAAGATTAGTTGAGTTATGGACTTTAGAACTTCAGACTTGAGGCATTTTTGAGTTTCCACAATATCATCACATCAGAAAAATGGCAAAAAAATGAAAAAAAAATAAAATTCTAAATTTGAATGCAGAGTATTAGAGAATTGCTCCAGAAACATTTAGAGATATGCCACTTCAAATTCCGACTAAGATTAGTTGAGTTATGGACTTTAGAACTTCATCCTTGAGGCATTTTTGAGTTTCCACAACATCATCACATCAGAAAAATGACAAAAAAATGAAAAAAAAATAAAATTCTAAATTTGAATGCAGATTTTTAGAGAATTGCTCCAGAAACATTTAGAGGTATGCCACTTCAAAATCCGATTAAGATTAGTTGAGTTATGGACTTTAGAACTTCAGCCTTGAGGCATTTTTGAGTTTCCACAACATCATCACATCGGAAAAATGACAAAAAAATTACAAAAAAATGAAAAAAAAATAAAATTCTAAATTTGAATGCAGATTTTTAGAGAATTGCTCCAGAAACATTTAGAGGTATGCCACTTCAAAATCCGATTAAGATTAGTTGAGTTATGGACTTTAGAACTTCAGCCTTTAGGCATTTTTGAGTTTCCACAACATCATCACATCAGAAAAATGACAAAAAAATGAAAAAAAAATAAAATTCTAAATTTGAATGCAGAGTATTAGAGAATTGCTCCAGAAACATTTAGAGGTATGCCACTTCAAAATCCGATTAAGATTAGTTGAGTTATGGACTTTAGAACTTCAGTCTTGAGGCATTTTTGAGTTTCCACAATATCATCACATCAGAAAAATGGCAAAAAAATGAAAAAAAAATAAAATTCTAAATTTGAATGCAGAGTATTAGAGAATTGCTCCAGAAACATTTAGAGATATGCCACTTCAAATTCCGACTAAGATTAGTTGAGTTATGGACTTTAGAACTTCAGCCTTGAGGCATTTTTGAGTTTCCACAACATCATCACATCAGAAAAATTACAACAAAATTAAAAAAAAAATAAAATTCTAAATTTGAATGCAGAGTTTTAGAGAATTGCTCCAGAAACATTTAGAGGTATGCCACTTCAAAATCCGACTAAGATTAGTTGAGTTATGGACTTTAGAACTTCAGTCTTGAGGCATTTTTGAGTTTCCACAATATCATCACATCAGAAAAATGGCAAAAAAATGAAAAAAAAATAAAATTCTAAATTTGAATGCAGAGTATTAGAGAATTGCTCCAGAAACATTTAGAGATATGCCACTTCAAATTCCGACTAAGATTAGTTGAGTTATGGACTTTAGAACTTCAGTCTTGAGGCATTTTTGAGTTTCCACAATATCATCACATCAGAAAAATGGCAAAAAAATGAAAAAAAAATAAAATTCTAAATTTGAATGCAGAGTATTAGAGAATTGCTCCAGAAACATTTAGAGGTATGCCACTTCAAAATCCGATTAAGATTAGTTGAGTTATGGACTTTAGAACTTCAGCCTTGAGGCATTTTTGAGTTTCCACAACATCATCACATCGGAAAAATGACAAAAAAATTACAAAAAAATGAAAAAAAAATAAAATTCTAAATTTGAATGCAGATTTTTAGAGAATTGCTCCAGAAACATTTAGAGGTATGCCACTTCAAAATCCGATTAAGATTAGTTGAGTTATGGACTTTAGAACTTCAGCCGTGAGGCATTTTTGAGTTTCCACAACATTATCACATCGGAAAAATGACAAAAAAATTACAAAAAAATCAAAAAAAAATAAAATTCTAAATTTGAATGCAGATTTTTAGAGAATTGCTCCAGAAACATTTAGAGGTATGCCACTTCAAAATCCGATAGGGATAAGTTGAGTTATGGAGTATAGAACTTCAGCCCTAGGACATTTCTTAACTTTGTTGAATTTCTACAACATCATTACATCAAAAAAATTACAAAAATTTTAAAATAAAATAAATTTTTAAATTTGAATGCAGTTTTTTAGAGAATTGTGCCAGAAACATTTAGAGGTATGCCACTTTAAAATCCGATTAAGATAAGTTGAGCTATGGAGTTTTGAACTTCAGCCTTGGGATATTTCTTAACTTTGTTGAATTTCTACAACATCATACATCAAGAAAATTACAAAAATTTTAAAATAAAATAAATTTTTAAATTCGAATGCAGTTTTTTAGAGAATTGAGCCAGAAACATTTAGAGGTATGCCACTTTAAAATCCGATTAAGATAAGTTGAGCTATGGAGTTTTGAACTTCAGCCTTGGGATATTTCTTAACTTTGTTGAATTTCAACAACATCATCACATCAAAAAAATTACAAAAATTTTAAAATAAAATAAATTTTTAAATTTGAATGCAGTTTTTTAGAGAATTGCGCCAGAAACATTTAGAGGTATGCCACTTTAAAATCCGATTAAGATAAGTTGAGCTATGGAGTTTTGAACTTCAGCCTTGGGATATTTCTTAACTTTGTTGAATTTCTACAACATCATACATCAAGAAAATTACAAAAAATTTTAAAATAAAATAAATTTTTTAATTTGAATGCAGTTTTTTAGAGAATTGCTCCAGAAACATTTAGAGGTATGCCACTTCAAATTCCGATTAAGATTAGTTGAGTTATGGACTTTAGAACTTCAGCCTTGGGACATTTCTTAACTTTGTTGAATTTCTACACATCATCACATCAGAAAAATTACAAAAAAATAAAATTCGTAATTTGAATGCAGATTTTTAGAGAATTGCTCCAGAAACATTTAAAGGTATGCCACTTCAAATTCCGATTAAGGTTAGTTGAGTTATGGACTTTAGAACTTCAGCCTTGGGACATTTCTTAATTTTATTTACAGGAAGAGCATTCTACCATCTAGGCAACTTAATCTAATGAGAAATTTAACTTATAATATAATTAATATAGATAGATAAAATTAATTAATTGCTGGGTATATCTGCAGTGAAAATGGAATTTTATGAATTGCCTAATTAAATGCTTTTCCGCCCAAACACTATGAATTAATTTAACACTACATACTTTTAGGCATACGTAAGTATTTCATCTTATCAACTGTGTGAATAAACTTATATTAGCAAACTGATAAAACGAACACCCTAGGTATATCAAGCCGCATTAAGCCAAGTAATAAACGTCTTTCTAGAACTCCTGATATTCGCATTTATTATTTTGGCCACACACAATACTGAAAAATGTAAACAGACTAGTTGAACGACTGTTTTCGGTTGAAAAGGAGCCGCTGGTGGAATGACATTTTTGCGCCGTAAGAGAGCTGAGTTTGAGCCTGCTGTTAGCTGTTAACTGCATGTTAATCACATGTTAAGTTTATAACATTAAGAGAATTTTCTGAGTTTTGAGAAATGAACGTTTTTACAGATTTTGTACTACTCTTAAATGAAGCTCTTTTCAATCGTTGCATTTGCATTTATTTGGACAGCTGATTTACTTAATAATAATAACATCACATAAATAAACATGTAAATTAAACATTGTAATTATAATTGTGACACATCAATACATATTATCCGAAATGTAAAAACTAAAATATAATAAATGAAAAATTTAAATGTAATCTTAGAAAATTGAAAGCACAAAATCGGTGTATTGTGTGTAATGTAACTCGTTTACACCTTGTAATGTATAAATAAATATGAAATTAACAATACAAATTACAAATTAAATAAAATAAAAATACAAATAAAAATACAAATAATAATACAAATAAAATTACAAATAAAAATATAAATAAAAATAAAATAGAAATACAAATTAATAATAAAATAAAAAAAAAATAAAAA